ATGGAATCCTGCTTGGACCCCCATGCATGGTTTTTATGTGGGAGCAGGGTGGAAGCTCCCTAGGCCTCAGCTTTTTGCTCCAGACAAATGGGAAGCAGTGGGAAAACATTAACAGAAGCCTGGAACCAAGTCCAGCCTGGTCCCCTGACACTCCTCTGTGCCCTGCAGATGTGGATGAGTGCGAGGCTGGGAACATGTGCCAAGATGGCATCTGCACGAACACACCAGGCTCCTTCCAGTGTCAGTGCCTCTCTGGCTATCATCTGTCAAGGGACCGGAGCCACTGTGAGGGTGAGGGATCCTAGAGCCTGGGCGCTGGCCTGTTTCTACCTACCCCAGGATCTCTACTGCCCAGGTCCAGTCCCCATCCAGATCTCAGTTGTGATTTGAGGGTGTGGGAGTGACCCAGAACTAACAGAGTAGGGAACTCAGATAACTCAAGGCTGCGTGTATGGGGTCAACCCGTGAAATTCTCCAAATCCTAATCTCCTACAGACATCGATGAATGTGACTTCCCTGCGGCCTGCATTGGGGGTGACTGCATCAACACCAATGGTTCCTACAGATGTCTTTGTCCCCAGGGCCATCGGCTGGTGGGTGGCAGGAAGTGCCAAGGTATGAGGAGTTGGTGGTGGAGGGCTCCTGAAAAGGAGAGGCAGGGCAGTGTGATCTATTTGACACGCTGTAGCTCTTCTGTGTCTATTTGACACACTGTAGCTCTTCTGTGTCTATTTGACACACTGTAGCTCTTCTGTAGTCTTTGTATCCATCTTCTTCATCAATCCATCCAACTCATCTAACCATCTAACCAGTGCCTTTGTTCTCCAACAAGGGTCAGCCTGCTGGCCTCAGTGTTTCTGTATTGCTTTTTTTTTGTTTGTTTGTTTGTTTGTTTTTTGAGACAGGGTTTCTCTGTGTAGCCCTGGCTGTCCTGGAGCTCACTCTGTAGACCAGGCTAGCCTCAAACTCAGAAATCCGCCTGCCTCTGCCTCCCGAGTGCTGGGATTAAAGGCGTGTGCCACCACTGCCCAGCTGTATTGCTTATTTTTACTTTTTGTGCACGTGTGTTTGCCTGAATCATGCCTGTGAACCACATGAATACATCCCTGTGGAGGCTAGAAGAGGGCATTGGAGCTACAGATGGTTGTGAGTGGACACGTGGGTGCTGGGTCATCTGGAAGAGCAGTCAGTGTTCATAATGACAGAGCCATCTCTCCAGCACCTCTGCTCAGCCCCTTACAGATATGATAGTCTGACCCATCAACTGACTGACCTCTATGTACATTCACCACCACGTGATACCTGCACACCCCTGTTTGGCAAGAGGTGTACTAGGTATTTCAGCAATAAACTGGGGCTCCTAGATTGGAAGGGGGCATGAAAATGAGCCTCAGGTTCAGGGTGAGGTTACCCAGAAGTTAAACAAAGGGAGATGCCTGTAGAGTTGAGATTTGAAGCATTAGGGGTCTTTCAGCAGGGGCTCTGGGAGGAAAGGGGTCTCTCAGTAAGGAACTCTGCGTGGGAGGGGGTCTCTAAGTAGGGAGCTCTGGGTGGGAGGGGGTCCCTGGGTTGGAAGGGTCTGAGTGAGAAGGATCTCTCAGCAGGGGTTCTGGTTGGGAAGGGTCCCTCTGGGTGGGGTTCTACCCCATGAACAGCAGTTATAAAGTACTCAGTGTGTCTTTTAGAGGGGTAGGGATAACTCTACCTTGAACAAAAGTTTGGGAGGAATGAAGAAGTGCAGAGCCAAGTTTGATGACATGTGTCTGTCATCCCAGATACACAAGAGGCTGAGGCAGAGGATGTCAAGCAGCAGACATTCCTTCAAGGAATAGCAAAACTGAAAGGTAGTGGGAGATGATCAGGAAGGTCTCCGAATGTCAGCTGAGGGTCAGGAGCTCATTCGAATGCCAGGAGGACCTACGTGTTTACAAAGGCTAACAGCCGCACAAACCTACCCACGCAGACAGACAGGCCCAAGGAGCCTTCTGTTGTATGCACTTTGAAACCAAAGCAGAAACTCAGGTTTTGAGCCTGTGGGTACACCCCAGGGAAAGAGGGGCTGGCTCTCCACAGCTGAGCTTGTCCTTGCTTCCTGGTCTCCTTGCCCTTCCCAGATATAGATGAGTGCAGCCAGGATCCAGGCCTGTGTCTGCCCCATGGGGCCTGCGAGAACCTCCAGGGCTCCTATGTCTGTGTCTGTGATGAGGGATTCACACTCACCCAGGACCAACATGGCTGTGAGGGTGAGTACCCGCCCTTCTCTCAGACTGGTAACCTTTGGAGCTACAACTGCCTTAGAGATATGTGCCGGTTCCACCTTTTTGAATTCCTAGAACAGAAAGAAATCCTCTTTGCCTGGGAGAAGTGGGTGGAGTTAGGCCTCTCATCAGGTGATGAGGAGGGCCAGGGCAGTTGAAGGTCAGAGTGGGTGCAGTTTTGGGGTACAGTAGACAGGGCCAAAACTACTATCTCCATGAACTTGAACTGTCACCCTCTCTCCAGAGGTGGAGCAGCCCCACCACAAGAAGGAATGCTACCTTAACTTCGATGACACCGTGTTCTGTGACAGTGTATTGGCTACCAATGTCACCCAGCAGGAGTGCTGTTGCTCGCTGGGGGCTGGCTGGGGAGATCACTGCGAAATCTATCCCTGTCCAGTCTACAGCTCAGGTAAGAGGGATACACCCCTCCTTCCCAGAGCTCCCTTTTGTTCATCTGAGAACCAAAGGGCTTTCCCTCTGGGTGGATGGGAGGGAAAGGAGGAGAAAGCAGATGTGTGGTGTGGCAAGTGCCTGCTCAGCCCTGCTTTTCCTGCCCTCTCTCACCCTGCAGCTGAATTTCACAGCCTCTGTCCTGATGGGAAGGGCTACACTCAGGACAACAACATTGTGAACTATGGCATTCCAGCCCATCGTGGTAAGCTCTGACCTGGCACCTCCTTCCTTCTTCCCATTACAATTTGGTTTGGTTTAAGGGTGCTGGTTGGGTCGGCCACTCGCTGGGTAAGCTCTACCCCTTACACCAGTCTGGCCCCAATAATCCCAACCAAAATCCCTGTCTTGGGTTCAAGTCTCCCATAAGCCCCGCCCATGAGTCTCAGCCAAGGGGCCCAAACCTCCAGGTAAAGGAGAGGCCATTGAGCATTCACGTTCCCTTTGGTCACACAGACATCGACGAATGCATACTGTTTGGGGCAGAGATCTGCAAGGAGGGCAAGTGCGTGAACACGCAGCCTGGCTACGAGTGCTACTGCAAGCAGGGCTTCTACTATGATGGCAACCTGCTGGAGTGCGTGGGTGAGCACAGCTGCAGGTGGTGGTCCTGGGGAAGCAGCCTAATCCGGGCCTGCTCCTGTCACACCCTTCTTTCTCTCGGCAGATGTGGATGAGTGCTTGGATGAGTCTAACTGCAGGAACGGGGTGTGTGAGAACACACGCGGCGGCTACCGCTGCGCCTGCACGCCGCCCGCAGAGTACAGCCCGGCGCAGCGCCAGTGTTTGAGCCCGGAGGAGATGGGTGAGGCCCGGGGAATCAGTGCGGGGAGCAGAAGGGACCAGAGCCCAGGCTGAATTGTGATTACCACCTCCACCAACCCCCTCGATGTCCCATAGACGTGGATGAGTGCCAGGATCCGGCTGCTTGCCGCCCTGGCCGCTGCGTCAACCTCCCGGGCTCCTACCGCTGCGAGTGTCACCCGCCCTGGGTGCCCGGGCCCTCCGGCCGCGACTGCCAGCTCCCCGAGAGCCAGGCGGGTGAGGGCGACATTCGTCCTAGGCCGATTTTGAGTCCTGTCAGGGTGGAGCCCCCGGGCCACAGCCCGTAGCTGGGATGTGACAGCAGTGGGTAGTCACCACCTCCCTCCTGTTAATGCGGGTCATGTTCCACAGAGCACGCCCCAGAGCGACGTGAAGTGTGCTGGGGCCAACGAGGAGAGGATGGCATGTGTATGGGGCCCCTGGCGGGACCTGCCCTCACTTTCGACGACTGTTGCTGCCGCCAGGGCCGTGGCTGGGGTACCCAGTGCAGACCGTGCCCACCACATGGCACTGGTGAGCTACCCCTGAGGGGCTAGAGGCAGGGACAGGAGTACAGCTGTGTTGCTGACTCTGTACCCACTTCCAGGGTTCCAGTGCCCGACTTCACAAAGTGAGAGCAACTCTTTCTGGGACACAAGCCCTCTGCTACTGGGAAAGTCTCCGCGAGGTGAGGCCAAGGGAGCAGACGTGTGGATTAGAGGCCATCAGCGGGAGCCCATGTTGATATCTGTATTCCTCTGGCCCATATAGACGAGGACAGCTCGGAGGAGGATTCAGATGAGTGCCGCTGTGTGAGTGGCCGCTGTGTGCCACGGCCAGGCGGGGCGGTATGCGAGTGTCCTGGTGGCTTTCAGCTGGATGCCTCCCGTGCCCGCTGCGTGGGTGAGCAAGGTGTTAGGGACAGAAGGGCAGTGTCAGCGGGGGTCAGATTGCACCACAGTGGGACTTAACCCAAGCCTGTGTCTGTTATGCTATCTTGCAGACATTGATGAGTGCCGGGAGCTGAACCAGCGCGGACTGCTGTGCAAGAGTGAACGGTGTGTGAACACCAGTGGTTCATTCCGCTGCGTCTGCAAAGCTGGCTTCACACGCAGCCGCCCTCATGGGGCCTGTGTGCCTCAGCGCCGCCGCTGACGCAGCCCTGGCCCACACCTCAGTGATCATCAAGGGTATTTTCCGCTGAAAGTGGAGACAAGTACATCCTTTGCTCCTGACCAAATGAGCACATGGACCCAAGGATCCTCGGGGCCCACAGATCTCCTTACACCCCAACACCCAAGGGTGCTCCTGCCTGCAGAGCGCTGTCGCTGTCTGCTTTCCTCCCTGAGGATGATTCCTAAAAACGTCGAAGTCTGATCTGCCCCTTTAATTTACTCTTGGCTTTCAAGGCAAATTGATATTCACATCCAAAGCTGGTTGGGACGGCAGCACCAAGACTTACTGCTTGTGCAGGTTAGGCTGAGCTGGAACCCAGGATGTGAAATAGAATTTATTGTGGCTCTGATTATGTACACTAGATGTCCCTGACCTGCTGACCAGGCTCACATGGTTTGTACAATAAATACATCCGCTGGGACTGCTCTCCAGTGCTTGGAAATGCCCAGGGGTTTGGGGGTGGGGTTGTCAGTCCAGCTTCCGGGCTCCCAGCTTCATGGGCCCTTTGGTGGCCTTTTTCTCTGCCCGCTTGGCTTCCATTTCTCTTCTCCTTTCCTCTCGCTTTTTCCGGGCCAGCTCTGCCTTCACCTGTCCTGGGATCAGAAAGGGAAGGAGTGGGTGAGCAGTCTTAGCCCTCTGGTCCCATGCCTTCCCTACCCATGCCCCTGTCAGCTCCTCGTGGGAAACACTCACTGCTCTCAGCCTCCAAGCCTTCCCAGTTGTCTTCACCCCAGGAGTCTGGGTCTGGCTTGGGCTGAAAAAGAAAACACAGGCTGCAGTAGGGGGTCGACACCCAGCACAGTTCACTCCATGCTGTGCTCCAGTGAGCCAGTACCTGAGCACTGGGACGAACAGACAGGGCAGCAAAGGGGTCACCCTTGTCACTGGGCTCTGCACCACCCCAGTTATACTCGCTAGCTAGTCGGGTGCCTTCTGGGAGAGGTTCGACAGAGCTGGGTTCCTGCCAGCCCTGGTCCCAGGAGCCCTCAACTTCCCAGCTGCTCCAGTGTGATTCCAGAGATTTGTTGTCTGAGTGGTTGCCCTATGAGTGAACAATGGGAAAGACAGGCCAGGTATAGTAAATGACCAAACAGTGCTCCATATAGACTCCTGCCCGACCCAGCCCACCTGTCCAAACAACAGACCCCTGCCCGACCCAGCCCACCTGTCCAGCTCGGCTCCCTTGGCCCTTGGCACTCCAGTCATCCTGCTGTGCCAACACAGAGTCAGCTTCCTGCTGCAGGGTAAGGAGAAATGCGTGAGCAGCAATATTCTCAACCCCCAAGAGGGCAAGTGCAGTGAGCCCTCCTGGCCACGGTTCTGCCCTTTGGGATTTTTATCAGTTTTGAGGCCTACCAGCCCTTTCTTCTCTGACCCAGCTCTGACTCTGGAGTTGAATAGGGGCTCAGTGGCTGTTGCTGGCCTATCACAACCAATCCATAAAGCCCCCTACCAGGATCGCCTGCAGATGAGGGCAGGCCCAACTCTGGTCTGCGCACTCCTCTGAAGGATAGTCTGCCTTGAGCTGGGGTCAGGCCTCCTCGGCCCTGCTTACCTCCAAGCTGCCCCAGTCCTCGTCGTCCCATCTGTCGGCAGTGGCGCTGTCGTCTACAGTGTCCTTGTCTTCTTCCTGTGTCTCCCAGTGGCCTGAGGTCGCAGGGGTGGCAGGGGCAAGGGCAGGGGCTGGAGCAGGATTTCCTAGGAAACAAAGAGTTCTCGGGGTAAAGTGGCTAAGAGGAAAGGGGCGAAAGGAGAAGGTATCACGGAGGCCCAAAGAGTGACTAGACAATGCCCCTGTCTTATGTCCCTACCACTGCAGCAGGGGAGCCTGACAATAGCTCTCAGCCCGCAGCCACTGATGCGGTGATCCTGGGACTCACCCTCTGGCACTGGTCTCTGGGGCACAGTGGTCTCAGATGGCCCAGGTGTGGGGTGTGCTCGGATCAGCTTGGAGGTGAGCGAGGATACCCCGGTCACAGCCCAGCCGGCCCAGCTGGCTGCAGCTCCTCCTGTTCCAGGACTGGATGCTGCATGGACATCCTTCTCTGGACAAAGAGATTGGCAGGTATAGGCTCCATGTTGAGATGACTGATGGGTCAGCTCTGTAACACAGTGATGTGCGGCAAACCCTCCCTTCCCTAGGCCCAGTCCTCCAATCTACGGAACATCTATGGCAACTGGCTGGGGGTTTCCAGCTTTCAGATGCTCCCATGGGATAGGAAAGTGAAAGAGAACATGGGTGTGGGTCACTCACCTACTTCTGCCAGCTGCGTGGGGTCCTCTGACACAGACTCTAACTTGGACAGGAAGCTTCGAATGGTCTTAAAGGCCTGCGGAGTAGCAAGAGGCCAAGCTGAGTACTCCCTGAGTGCTCCCGCAATCTCAAGGTATGGCCAGGCCTCTGTGAGAGCGGGTGTCCCAGCCCAGCCCCCAGGTCTACCCTGGCTGCCTTACCTGGTCCCGCACAGATTTCTCAGGGTCCACAGTAAGGCCACAGAGCACAGGCAGGATCTTATGGGCACAGTCATCCATTGAGTAGAGATTGTGTGTAGCGGCAAAGCCTAGGACACCCGCAACCCGCGATGGTGCAAATGGGTCCTTGGTGGCCCGGCTGAAGGCGGAGGTGAGAACCCTGTGTCTAGTCTGAGAGCCCAGACGGATAGGAAAAGGATGCTTGAATACACAGAAGCAACAAGCAGCTGCAAGCTACCAGACCTCACTTCCCAGGGCAGGGGCCATCCACCGGACCCAAGGTCTAAAAATGTGAACCTATCATTCTCAACTTAAAGAATTTATGTTGGGCAGAGGTGGTGTATGCCTTTAATCCCAGCACTCATGAGAGAGAGACAGATGGATCTCTGTGAGTTTGAGGCCAGCCTGGTCTACAGAGCTGGTGCTAGGACAGTGAGGGCTGCTACACAGAAAAACCTATCTCAAAAAACCAAAACCCTAAAACAAAAAAGGAAGAGAACTTAGCTACAGTGTGGACCCAGGCTTCTCCTGAACCACTGGATTCCACACTGCCTCATGGGGTGCAGTGCAGCCACCCCAGGCTGAGTGCCCCTCCCTTCTTTCCCACTGCTGGTCCTATTCAGCCATTAGACTTGTGTTTGTTTTTAAGACAGTCTCCCTGTGTAGCTCTGGCTGTCCTCAAACTGACTCGGGAGACCAGCTGGCCTCAAACTCAGATCCACTTGTCTCTGCCTCCCAAGTGCTGGGACTAGAGGCATGTGGCACCACTGCCCAACTTTCATTCAGTCTTATTAACTGCCCAGGCCTGGCAGAAGTTCAAGTGTTGGGTAATGACATGGAGTCAAGCAGACCTGGATTCCACACCCAGCTCTATCCCCTGATGGCTGTGACCTGACCTACAGCTAACCCCACCTCAAGAAGCCCAAGCATTAGGCCTGGTGACTCTCAGATCGAGGAGGACGCTCCGGAACAATGAGGACCCAAGCACGCAGGCTCTGCAGCCCAAGAGGAGGCTGCCGGCCTTCCTCAGCTCCACAGGACACTTACACTAGCACTGAGGTAGGAGCCGATTTTGCCCAAGCAGACTGTGGTGTTGCAGCGGATGGGACCCTGGTCGTCCTTGGCTTGTAGCCTTGCGAAGTGCTTCATCAGCTCCACGTTGAGGTTGGCCTCGTTCAGCTTTGGGGCCAAGAGCAGCATGGACTGCAGAGTAGAGGGACAGAGGGACTGTGAGCCAGTGCAAGAACGACACCAGTGGGAGAATGCCACCAGCGGGCTGTCAGATCTGTCTAGTCCAGTCCCTTCCCAGCTAGCACATTAAAACAGGGAGTCCCCTATTTCCAGCTCCCTTTTATGGCTAGACCCCAGAAGCTTGCCTGCATTCTGCCCTGTTCAAACTTACATACCAATGCATTGACAACTCCCTCTACCAAACTGGTTCATTCAGGCTGAGGTCACGGATGACATCCAATTTGCTAAATTTGATTTTCAGTTTAACTTTGCTTTGCCCAGGCTATCCTTGAACTTGCAATCCTCCTGCCTCAACCTCCTCAATGCTAGGATTAGAGGCATGTACCACTGTGCCTAGACTCAGTCATTAAATTGATTTACTTATTTTCCAAATTGCTAACTGTATGTAGTGGTTGCTCTAGGTAGGTTCCTTTCTGTTGCTGTAATGAACACTTTAACCAAAAGCAACATGGAGGAAAGACTTTGTCTCATCTTACAGCTACCAGGTCACAATCCAGCACTGACAGAAGTCACGACAAAAATACAAGAACCCAAGGGCAGAGGCCAGGCATGGTAATCAAGCTTTTAATCCCAGCACTCAGGAGGCAGAGGTAGGTTATGTTGGTCGGTGAGTTCAAGTCCAGCCTGGTCTATAAAATCAGTTCCAGGCCAGCCAGCGCTGTATAAGAAGATCCCATCTTAGAAAGCAGAGCAGGGGAGAGGATAGAGTTTGGATGCAGGAAGCAAGAGGAACCTGTTTTTCTCACCAGCTCATGCTTCTAGCTCATTCAGGAATGGCGGGGCCATTTTGCATAAATGCGAAATAAATAACTCCCCACAAACATGTCCAAAAGCCAATCTGACCTAGGCAATTCTACATTTTGAGCTTCCCTCTATCTAGATGACTCCAGGCTGACAATAAAATGAACCAGAACAAGGGCCCATTTTTCTCTTACCACTAGCCCTGACCCTAAGGAGTTTTGACACCCCCAAGTTCTTCCTACACTTTCAAGCTTCTGTTCGGTTCTACCCCACCTGGGTGACTGCTGTCTTCCTAGAGATGGGTGGTTAGAAGCCTCCAAGTACACACTCTTCAGCTTCTTTTGTGTCTAAGACTCCTGCCCTCTGGCTCTCTCCTGTGTGCTTGCTCGTGATGTCTGGATTCTCCACACTCACAAGAGGCTTCGGACTGAGGCCTCAGGGCAATGACTGATCCTGAGCGCTCAGGCCTCACCAGTGGTAATCCACTGTTGGATTCAGAATTTTCTGGTTGTTGGGAGATGATGGAAGGTATGGAAGTGAACCTCATTCAAGGCAGTGGATACTTGGGGATGTGCCCTTGGGAGTTATCACTTGCCAGTCCCTCCCCTCTGTCTTTCTGTCCATCTGATGAGAACAGTAATTCTGCTTTCACTTCATGGCCCCCGCCAGCATGTCCTAGTTCCCCAGGGGCCCAGATGCAACAGAGCTGACAGCTCTGACCCTGACCCCAGAAGTGACAGATCTTTCCCCTTTAGGCCATTTCAGGTATTTTGACACAGAGCAGTAAGATGAGAGCACAGTCCCCTGGTCCATCCCTAACCAAGACTTCTTCCCTGTACTTTACATGTGCATATGGTCGGTGCCAGCTCAATACTTCCACCTGACCATCAAACAGCTGCCCAATGGCAGCCTGGCTGTTCCCAGTCTGCTCGTTGGTCCCCTCAGCACACTCCACCTTCAGACCCTTCCTGTACCTTAGCCTAGAGGGCGCAGGACCATCTTTAATGCTCAGAAAAGATAGCCCCCATTTCAGAATGTCCCATTCTTTAAGTGGCTGACATTACCCCAGCATGGGACAACCCCTAACTAGCTTCCACCTTGCCTGACAGTAAGGCTCCACAAAGAGTACAATCTGTGTAGCCCTGGCTGTCCTAGAACTCGATTTGTAGACCAGGCTGGCCTTGAACTCACAGAGATCTACCTGCATCTGCCTCCTGAGTGTTGGAATTAGAGGTGTGCAATGCACTGCCATACCCAGTGATGCAACAACTGACCTTTAAAGCAAGTTGGACCCAGCCACTGCCCAACCCTGGTGCAGCTCCAGCCTCACTTCAGTGAGTGTGCCAGGTGCTCCAGGACTATCGTCAGTCTGGCTCCGCCTTCCATAACCACACCCCTTCAGCATGCTAAACTACATTACTAGAGACCCCCCAGCCTCAGAGCCTTTACAAGGGCTGATCCTTCTACAAGGAGCACGTTTCTTCCAGGACCTCTAGCAGACTAGATGAAGGCAGTTCCTCCCGTATACATGCCGCTTCCCTTTTTTTGAGGCTCTTCATGTAGCCTAGGCTGGCCCTGACTTTATGATCCTCGTGGCTCTGCCTCCCATACACTGGAATTACAAGAGCTTCAACGTCTGGCTAAAGCAGTCTTTTTGAAACATTTCTGAAACACCCTATGTAGACCAGGCTGGCCTAGAACTCACAGCCATCCTCCTGTCTGTGCCTCCAGAGTGCTAGTATTACAGGTAGGTGCCTCCATGCTAGGCAGATAGGTAGTCCTATATTTAAAATTCCAAACTCTCCTTTCTATATGCCCCTTTCACTTTCTAATGAAATACACATCTTCTGTTTATTGTCTGCTAAGCCCATTGTCTGTCCCATTCACAGAGGAACTAGTTGCCAGTGTGTGCTGTGTCCCAGTATGAGGCCAGGCAGGCACTGGGAGCTGCTTAGAATCAGCAGAAAATACTGCAGGCTGAGTCCCCCAAACCCCTCTCATTTCCAGGCTGAGCCCAGGCACTGGATTGGCAGCATGCATACATATGGACACTCCCACCACACCTTTAGGCTTAAACCAAAGCCTGTGTTCCAGAGAGAACCACTTCCCTGTCTTGGGAGACAAGGAGTAGCCATTCCAGGCCTGATAACACTCACCTTGACTGTCTGCTCCCGGATGGCAGGGTTGGTGTCCAGGAAGCCATGTGTGACATGGGGGAAGATCTGGGTGTTGACTGTCGGCTCATCAAGGTATTGGATGAACTGCTCCATCTGTGGCCCAGGGTAGGGCATAAGAAGTTAGCTGCACCCTCACCGAAGGAAGTCACAGGGACACTCTGGCTTTGGCTATTCCAGTAGAGACACTGGCCACCAGGTAGCCTCCTGAGGAAGCCCACCTAGTGAGTGTGTGTGTGTGTGTGTGTGTGTGTGTGTGTGTGTCTTCAGGAGGGAAGTTCATCTGACAGTAGGACAGGAATTGGTTCCTGGTGCCTAGGAATCATTAGTTCTTTCTGGCTCATAAGGACCCTCTAACCTAGAAGCCAACAATCTGTAGCTCCAGCTGTCTTGGGACTGACAGGAGACATTGTGGATGGAGGCTGGAGAATCCCAAGGCTGCAAAGAGCCCTGAGACCACCTCCACCTCTTGAGAGCTTTCCTAGCCCTTCACCTGTGTGGTGGCCATGGTAGAGGTTTCTAGGGACCATAGGTAGCCAAAGTACAGGCTCTGGCCACCTGCCTAAGGCTGGGGGTGATCAGAGTCAGGACAAGGCCTGGGAGGAGGAGGACCTGGGCAGACTGGGTGAGCATCTACCTGCTGGAGGAGGCGGATGCGCATGGCACGGTCAGTGGATGAGAACATCTTAACCACCACGGGGATGATCTTCTGCTGGTACTCTTCAGCACTGAGGAATTTTCCCACCTGAGAAAGGAGCAGGAAGAGAGCTTGGCCACACCCACAGGGTAGGGCCACCTCACAGGGGTCCCCTCACTTGCTTGGGCTCACTGCTGGCTTTCCAGGGAAGGATGAGTTGATGGTGGAGAAAGCATTTCCTCAGTAGGACTTTGGGCCACACTCTGCCCAGGCAACTCTCCTCCTAACCTTCCTCCATGTTTTAGGAGGCAGTGGACAACTCAGTCCCTCCCCGCCATAAAGTGGCACCTGTATGACACATGCACATAGTATTCTGCCTACAATTTCTGAGGGTTCCAATTAAACAAAATTTGATAGCTGCCTTTTAAACTCTTCCAGCAAGTCCCTTCAGGGATAAGAGTCCCCTGGGATGGAGAGGAGCCCCTGTAAGCACTGGCTGGCTAGAGTTGGAGGCAGAGGGCAAGATCAAGCCACTGGAAGTCAGAGAGCTGAATGTGGAGAGGAGTGGGTTGGTGTGTGAACAAATTCCTGGGCCCTGGAAACCAGGGTGCACAGGTCAGACCAGTGGAGCTTGAAGAAATGGAAGAAAGGATCTGAAGAGATTGTAAGCAAAAGAATTTGGAGGCACAGAGACTGCCCTTCCCTAAGCTAAGAGGTCCCCCAGCAGGTAGCCCCTGCCTGCTAAGTCATGAGGACACTGGGTTTGAGTCTACCCTGAGTATGCTTCTCACCCAAGTGTGAATCCACCCAGGTCTCTGGATCCCACAGCTCCTGGCCCCATTTACCTTGAAGAGAGGTGTGAGGACCACAGCCCCAGCATTGCCAAACTCAAAGGCAGTCAGTAGCTGGGGCAGCACCTTGTGTCGACAAAAATCTTCGGGAAACGAGTCTAGACTCTTGCTCAGCTCTTGGAAGAACTTCTGCTTCTCAGCTGGCTCTTTGATCTGGGGGTAGCATAGACAGGATTCAGGGAGGAAACCAGCCACATCATGTACACAGATGAGGGGAGGGGCCAACTGAAGGAAAAGGAGCAATGCTACGGAGCCCTCTCTTCACCTCGGGGTGAGCACGGGCAGACTCTTCCCCTGTAACATGGTATAATAGCTCTACCACCACTCTGAGGGCTCAACCAGAAAATGCTCATAAAAGCTGCCAGTGAGCCGGGTCTGACCACCCACACCGTGGCCAGCACTGAGGAGGGAAGGCAGGAGGATCTGGAGCTGGAGGCCAGCCTAAGCGACATAGTGAGATCAAAGCCAGCCTGGGCTGTAGAGTTACAGTCTTCTAGTGACCATTCTTTTTTTTTAGCCCTGGCTGTCCTGGAACTCACTCTGTAGACCAGGCTGGCCTCGAACTCAGAAATCCACCTGCCTCTGCTTCCCAAGTGCTGGGATTAAAGGCATGTGCCACCACCACCCGGCAATTGGAAATAGTTCTTTTTTTTTTTTTGGTTTTTCGAGACAAGGTTTCTCTGTGTAGCCCTGACTGTCCTGGAACTCATTCTGTAGACCAGGGTGGCCTCAAACTCAGAAATCCACCTGTCTCTGCCTCCCAAGTGCTAGGATCAAAGGTGTGTGCCACCACCGCCCTGCTCCAGTGACCATTCTTGCTATAACCCTGTCACTTAACCTATAAGGTAATCAATCACTAAGAGATCAAACACCTTCCTCTACTGTTCACAAAAACCCAAACGAGGAAACTGATGCTCAAAGCAGGAAAGATCTTTCTTGGCTCCTTGCCCTGGCCTGGTTGTACACATGCGGTGGGGTTTCTAGAGACATAGAAAAAGTCAGGAAATAGGCACATAGTCTTCCACCAGACCTGGGCCAAACCAGGCTTGACAGTCATAGTCTTTCTAATACCCCCACCCTGAGGCTATAACATGCACAACACAAATTTCGTGAGCACAGTCTGAAAACTAAAACATCCACACATAGTATCTCAAATAACCCTCTTCACAGTGTAGGAAGGAACCACCAGCCAAGCTGAAGCACAGGCAGAAAGGAAGCTTGTTTAAAGACATACAGCTAACAAATAACCAGCACACCTCTGTGACTTTGCACACTGCTGTCACTGGTCCATTTACAAAAGAAGACAATGAGGGTTAAGGGTCCCGTGGCTAGAAGCTGGTCATGGCGGTACATGCCTTCCAAGCACTGGGGAGACCAAGGCAGGATGGAGGTGTCAAGGCCATCCTGGGAAGGATGGTGAGGTCTTACCTCAGGGAGAAGAAAATGAAGTATCTTGGTGGTCATTACCCAAAGCCCTGTGTCCCATTTTACCGCCACCCTCAGGAGCAGCCTGGTCCAGAAGCAGTGACCATGGCTGAGGTGCAAAATGCCAAAGTGGCATGGAGCTGTGTAGTCCAGTGTGGGAAGCAAGCTAACCCCAGAGCCAGGAGGTAACAAGTAAGGTTCAAAGGGGGAATCACAGCCAAGGCTGTCCTTCTAGAAAGTTACTGAGGGCTCTCTTTACTCCCACGTTCTCCTGGGGGTTAGCCAGAAACTGCCCATTTTCTATGGGGCACATTTTCAGAGGACAGGCAGCCTAGCAGAGTCAGCCATGTGAGGAGAACTCCATGTAACAATAACCCCAGTGCCCCCACACTGGCCAGGAGACATCATGGCTCAGCAATCTCAGCTGCTTCTTCAAGATATAAAAACTTGGGCTGGAGAGATGGCTCAGTGGTTAAGAGCAGTGACTGCACTTCCAGAGGTCCTGAGTTCAAATCCCAGCAACCACATGGTGGCTCACAACCATCTGTAATGAGATCTGACGCCCTCTTCTGGTGTGTCTGAAGACAGCTACAGTGTATTCATATATAATAAATAAATAAATCTTTAAAAAAAAAAAAAAAAAAAGATATAAAAACTTTGGTACCAGGCATGGTGAATCATGTCATTAATCCCAATGTAACTCAGGGAGACAGAGGCAGGAGAATCTCTGCAAGTTCCAGGCCAGCCTGGTCTACATAGTGAGTCTCAGGACAGTCAGGGATACATAGTGATACCCTGCCTCAAAAACAAAACAAAACGCCGGGCGATGGTGGCACACGCCTTTAATCCCAGCACTTGGGAGGCAGAGGCAGGCGGATTTCTGAGTTCCGAGGCCAGCCTGGTCTACAGAGTGACTTCCAGGACAGCCCAGGCTATAAAGAGAAACCCTGTCTCGAAAAAACAAAACAAAACAAACTGGCCTTCCTGTTTCACCCCAACAATGCACTCTGCTCCTCTGAGGTCTGCCACCCTCCTGCCCGGCTCCTGATTCTGTGTTCTCTACATCTAGCTGGGTCAGAGCAGAGCCTCAGTCCTTTGTCATTATGCTGCTAAGAGCAGCTGGATGCTGTTGACTCTCTCCCTTGCACTGACATGGATGCTGAGATTCAGAGGTGAAGCAGAGGGCGTCCCCTTCCCTGTGCTCTTCTGTCTCCCAGTACCATCTTTCCCAGTCACCTTCCAGATGGCTCCCACCTTTAAGTCTCAGACACTGGGTCATTTTCCTTCCAGCACTTACTTGGGGAGCACAGGTTTCTCAGTCACATTTCCTGTCTCTCCTGTAATGAGAGCTCCCAGAGGTGAGGAGCTGTTTGTTTGCTCCTTGCTGGGTCCTGAGGGTTGGTCTGACTCGCTTCCTCCCCAGCACTTTGTGTGGGACCCAAGAGGAACAGAGCAACCATACAAGTATGAGTGACTGGTAGCTGCTGAGTGACAGGGGAGTCATCAAGCACCTGCCGTGTGCTCAACTGTACACAGCAGCCCTCGCTATCTTCGTCCACCAGAGAGCAAGAATATCAGAAAAGAAAGAACTACTGCAACACGCATGTACAGCTTACTTTTTCTTGCCATAGTTTGCCCAAATATCACAATATAGTAACTATTTATACCGGATGCATATTATCTAAGGAGCTAGTAAGTTAGTTACAGATAATTTAAAGAATACAGGAGGGGGTGGGGTAATGGCTCAGTGGGTTAAAGTATTTGCTGTACAAACATGAGGAACTGAGTTCAAATCCCCAGGACCCATGTAAAAAGCTGAGCATAGCCCAACACACCTATAAGCCCAGGGCTAAGGAGATGGAGACAGAAGGCTCACTGGAAATTACTGGTTTCAGCCTGAGTGAGACCCTAAATAATGGGGATCAGGCAGCAAGGGATAGAGCGGGATACTGATACCCTCCTCTGCACACACACACACACACCACACACACACACCACACACATACACAAACACACACGTGCACACACATGCACACACATGCACACGCGCACACACATGCACACACACACACATACCACATACACACCACACATATACACACCACACACACGAACACACGCATGCACACACACACCACATGCACACCACACACACAACACAGCTACATACACACATGCATGCACGCACGCACACACACCACACACACACATACGCACACACACCACACACACGCACCCATACCACACACATACCACACGCACGCATGCACGCACATACACCACACACACACACCCACCACACACACACACACGAGATTATGGAAAGATATAAATTATATGCAACTACTATACCATTTTACATTAAGGATCAGAACATCTGCCAACTCTCAGGAGTCCTAGAGCCAATTCCCCACTGCTGGTTAGTTCTGACATCTGGGAAGCGGGAATCTCAACTGAAAAAGTGCCTCCATCAGATTGCTTACAGCCAAATCTGTTGGGGACATTTTCATGACTAGTGATGGGTGTAGGAGGGTCCACTGTGGGCAGTACTGCTCTTGGGCAGATGGTCCTAGGTTGTATAAAAAAGCAAACTGGAGTAAACCAGTGAGCAGCATGCTTGTCTCCACACAATCCATATGTGAGATGCCAAAACATAGGGGGAGGTCCTGGCAAGGAACCCCAGCACAGACAGGGCTCACCTGAATCTCCTCCAGGAAGAGGTTGGTCTCAACAAAGCGGTTGCTCATGAAGCCACCTGGTGCCCGGCAGTTCTGCAGGAAGCGGGCCGGGTTGGGACGGACTTTGGGGTTAGCTCCCACCAGCTCACAGTAATGGGTCACCAGGGATTTGGGGATCTGTAAGGGAAGGTTCCGTGTTAAGGAAAGAGTAATGGATGGGTGGCAAGAAAGAAGGGCCTGGGACAGCTGAGGCAGGCAGAGGCTGGACACTCACCTTCCCGGGGTTGCGCAGGGCAGCTGCCCGAGGTAGAGACCCATTGAAAACTTCCCAGATGAGGCAGCCCAAGCGCCACATGTCTGCTGACCTGTGGCAGTAACCCAGAGCTGTTCAGGGCTCCCCAGCATATACCAGTGCTGTCTCCAACCTGCTTTGGGTCCCAAGTACCTGCTGCATCACAGGCCTTGGCTGCACTGACCCCCTCGGCCCCAAGTAGTTTGTTTCATTAGCCCCACTTAACAAACACCAAAGCTCAGAGAAGCATGGACACATGCCTCCAACACACAGCTTTCAAATTCAGAAGCACTGAAACTATGTCCCTCCTAAACAACCACCCTCCTCCTGAGACCCTGCTTCCCTTCCCAGGCAGGCAGCAAGGGCCAGGGGTTTTCTGGCTAGTCTAGGGGTTCCGAGGCTGCAGGGGCCTCCAGTGCAGGGCAGATCAAGGTACCGTGACCTCAGGCACCCACCACTTCTCTTTGACTGCTCTGCTACTGTTATCAGCCAACTCCGGGGGGTCATACTGCTCAAGCTCAGGGATCCCCTTGCTGGGTGGTCCCCCGCCGTTGCCCTGCGCTGAGTACATGTAGTCCAGACCCCCAAGTTTCCATTCGCCAGCCCTGTCCACAAACACAGCAGCCATGCAGACATTATTGTGGATGAGGTTGCAGTCGTTGACCAGGAAGCTGAGGGCTTTCACGATCTGGTGTAACCCCCATGACAGCTCCTGCTCCTTCAGGCCACCTGCTTCTGTTCGTGCCTTGAGGTATGCTCCCAGTGGGGTCACAGCCTCTGTCACGATGTGAAGGCACTTTTCTGTCTGAATAAGAAAAAGGGTATCAGAGTATGGTTCCAGAAGAGGAAGGGAAGATGAGGGACGTGACAGGGAAAGAGGCAGTGGAGAAGATACCAAATGTGAGGGTGCTGAAGCACTTGGGTACAAACTGAGGGCCTGAGGAGAGTAAGATGGGCAGATCGGGCAACAGGTACCTCCAACCCATCGATATAGGCCAGGATGTTGGGGTGTCGGAGAGTTTTGAGGCGTTTGAAGGCAGCTTTGGCCACCTGGGTCTGCTCTTCGGCTCCGGGTTTCACATCGTACACGAAGATGGACACCGCGCTGCCTGTGGCCTGGTGGAGGACACAGCAACCTGAGTGGCGCGGGCCAGGTGATCACTCCAACCTGCCCGGACTACAGGAGCTCCGAGTCCGTCTCCAGAACAGAAGGGAAGGGACTCCAGCCAGTCTCGCCCCAGGACAGCCCTTAAGGATCTAGCCAAGCCCACGTGACCCCCATCCGGTTTGCTTTGACGGTCCCTCGGTCCTTCCGTCCGCCACGTCGTCACTGCTCGCCCCACTCCCCAGCCCGTTGCCGAGATCCTTGGTCGCCGCCACGTCAGGCCCGGCGCGACACAGCGAAGCCGGCATACAGACTAGGAAAGGCCGAGGACGGCTGCGGCCTGCGGAGCAGCGTAGTACCTCACCTTTTTGCGGCCTCGGTGCAGGATCCAGGGCCCAGGCGGCCCGCCTTCGGGGGGCTCAGGGCTAAGCTCGAACGGGAAGTCCCGGACCGGGTCCCGGGCAAAGAACCACATCGTCGCCGCCACCACGGGCTCGGGAGCCTCCACTCCGGGTCCTCCCGCTGCCCGAGCCGGGGCGGGGCGGGGCGGGGGCGGAGCCACTCTGTCCTGTGGGTGGGTCTGTGCGTTGGGCGGGTCTTTGGGGTGGGGCCTTGCCGGACGGAGGCGGAGCTGAAGGCAGGCCTCCCCGGGCGGGGCTGAGTGTGGAGGGAGGGGTGAGCTAAGATGGTCATCTAAATGCTCCAAACTTGTGGACTTGTATAGATAGAGAAATTGAGTGTGATGTAGAGTAGTGAATGCAACAGTTGTAGAATGAGGAGGGGGCGGGATCACGAAGTGAGCGTGACAATAGAGCCCATCTAAACCTGGTTGGGGAGTCAGGGGTGGGGAGAGATGGGGAGATAGAAAAGAAAGGCTACTACTGGCAGTAGATGGGAAAGTAAGAGTAGTGAGGAGAACGGTTACATGTAAGCTAGAAGCTTCTTCACCAGGAAGTGAGAAGATTCAGGGTTCAGCAAGGAAATTGTGACTTGAGCAGTGAGTTACTACAGTAAAGATGCTTGAGACCTTGAGAGTGGGGTTGAGGTTGAGGTGGGCAAGGGTGATGCAAATATCCTGAGAGGTCTGGGAAACTGTTATTAAAGAAGCATGTCCAGAAAGACTCCATATCTCCAAAGTGGACATGGGTGCTGGCCAGAGTCCTGCAGGAGCTCAGAGCTGGAAATGATGTCCTGGGCACTGAACTGAGTTGGCAGGAGGAACATGGCAAAGCTAGGAATAACCCCCACAACTTCTTGTAAGTCCAGTTTTAGGGGCTCCAACACCCCCTGTGATGGTTTGAATGCTTGGCCCAGAGAGTAGCACTATTAGGAGACGTGACCTTGTTGGAGTAGGTGTGTCACTGTGGGCGTGGGCTTAAGACCCTCATCCTTAGCCGGGCGGTGGTGGCACACGCCTTTAATCCCCGCACTTGGGAGGCAGAGGCAGGCGGATTTCTGAGTTTGAGAGTTCGAGGCTACCCTGGTCTACAGAGTGAGTTCCAGGACAGCCAGGGCTAAACAGAAAACCCTTTTTTCAAAAAACAAAAAAAAAAAAAAAAAAAAAGATGCACAGACTGTTCTGGAGTACCTGTTTGGCGCCTTTTATCACGTGGTAGTGATGTTAGTGATGATGGTACTTTTCCAAGTCCCCGTGTGTCAGGCACTCTCTCTTTTTTTTTTTTTTTGGTTTTTCGAGACAGGGTTTCTCTGTGTAGCCCCGGCTGTCCTGGAACTCACTCTGTAGACCAAGCTGGCCTCGAACTCAGAAATCCGCCTGCCTCTGCCTCCCAAGTGCTGGGATTAAAGGCGTGCGCCACCACTGCCCGGCGTCAGGCACTCTCTTGAACACTCCCACTGAGTCCTGATGCCTGTCTCTAAACAAACACATAAAGAACCAAGGGAGTAGCCTTTGAGTGGAAACACACATAGTGCCTCAGAGACCCTGTCCAACCACCAAGTCTAGAGTCCAGACTCTGTTGGAGAGGAAACAGCTGGCTGTGCTCATTAGATAGTAAAGAAGTTCCTGACATGCTATGCAGACCCTGTAGAACATACTGGAAAATGAGCTATTTTTCTTGGGAAGTGTGCTTGCTAATTTTATGTCAACTTGACACAAGTTAGAGTCATCTGAGAGGAGAGAGCTCCAATTGAGAAAATGGCTCCATAGGAAAAGTCTGTGGGCTGGAAAGATGGCTCAGTGGTTGAGAGCACTGACTACTCTTCCAGAGGTCTTGAGTTCAGTTCCCAGCAACCACATGGTGGCTCACAACCATCTGTAATGGGATCTGATGCTCTCTTCTGTGTGTCTGAAGACAGCTACAGTGTACTCATATACCCAAAATAAATAAGTTTTAAAGAAAAAAAAAAGTCTGTAGGAGCTGCAGAGATGACTGGGGTTAAGAGGACCCCGATTCAATTCCCAGCACCCACATGGCAGCTCACAACTCTCTGTGACTCCAGTGTCAGACAATCTGGAACCTTCACACAGACAGACATGACATACAGACAGACATGAAGGTAAACCATCAATGCACAAAAAATAAATAAATCCTTTATAAAGAAAAGGCTTACACAGGCCTACAAAGCATCTTTTCTTAATTAGCAACTGAAGGAGGAGACACAGTTCTTTTTCTTAATCAGTGATTGATGGGAAAGGGCCAGCCGAGCCCCTAGGTGGTAGTACTGGTTCTATAAGACAGCAGGCTGAGCAAGGCATGAGAAGCAAGCCAGTAAGCAGCACCCTCCATGGCTTCTGTGTCAGCTCCTGACTCCAGGTTCCTACCTGATTTGAGTCCTGCCTTGGCTTTCCTCAGTGGACTATGACTTGGGATATGTAAGCCAGATAAACCCTGCTCTTCAGGTTGCTTTTGGTCAATGGTGTTTCATCATAGCAACGTAACCCTAAGATAGAATGTATGTCTAGAAGCCCTCCGTATCCCCAAGGTGAGCACGGGTACTGGCCACAGTGTCCTGCAGGAGCTTAGAGCTGGAAGATGCCCTGGCCACTGAACTGAGCTAGCAGGAGGAGAGTGGCAAAGCCGGGAAGTAAGCCATTTCTTCCAGAAATGTTTCTCATGGCCCTCTGATGGCTAAACTTAACATTCTGTTATGCGATGAAAGAAAAGCTTGTCTTTTGAGACAGAAGAAACTTAGGCTGACCTCAAGCACAGCATATACCTGAGGATGATGCTGAGCTTCTGTTAACATTGCTATTACACTCATGTATTTATCCTGAGCATGTGCACATGTGCGTTTTGCGTACATGTGGGGGTTCGTGTGTCTCACACCATGTCTGTAGAGATCAGAAGACAACTTGCAGGAGTGGACTCTCTTGTCCCATACATGAGTTCTAGGGACCAAATTAACGTGAACAGAGTTGGCAGCAAATACCTCTCCCCCAAACCCCCCCATTGAGCCATCTTGCCAGCCAGTCTTCTGATCCTATTACCTGAGTACTTACCTGCTGGGGTCACAGGCATGCACCAACAAGCCTGGTTTATTTTTTATTTTTATTTTTTTTTTGTTTGTTTTTGTTTTTTCGAGACAGGGTTTCTCTGTGTAGCCCTGACTGTCCTGGAACTCACTCTGTAGACCAGGCTAGCCTCGAACTCTCAAACTCAGAAATCCGCCTTCCTCTGCCTCCCAAGTGCTGGGATTAAAGGCATGTGCTACCACCGCCCGGCTATAAGCCTGGTTTATTTGATGCTAGGGATTAAATGCAGGTCTTCGCATAAATCCTCTACCACCTGAGCCACATCCTTAGCCCATGGAGGTCTTTAAAAGCAAAAGATATAAATGCCAGGCAATGGTGGGGCACACCTTTAGTGCCAGCACTTGGGAGGCAGAGACAGGCAAATCTCTTGAGTTCAAGGCCAGTTCCAGGACAGCCAGGGCTACACAAAAAATTTCTATCTTGAAAAAACAAAACAAAAGGGGCTGGAGAGATGGCTCAGCGGTTAAAAGCACTGACTATTCTTCCAAAGGTCCTGAGTTCAATTCCCAACATCCACATGGTGGCTCACAACCATCTGTAATGGGATAAGAATCCCTTTTCTGGTGTGTCTGAAGACAGCTACAGTGTGCTCACATACATTTAAAACAAAATAATCAACAAAGAAAAATATCCTTTTCAAATGCATATGGAACAGTCAGGAAAAAGTCTGTTATCTATGCACAGAAATAAATTGTAGGGAGCTGGGAGTGGTAGGTGGTAGAGATAAGGATTAGGAATTCTAGGCCATCTATCCTCAGCCACATAGTTCGTTCACTTAAACTGTGCTATGGGAGACCTTGTCTCAAAACACCAAATAAATACGTAAAGAAGAAGCAGCAATTATTGTGGACCTAATGCTAGGTGTGTTGTCCAAAGGCGGTAGAGTTGAACTGGAAGCATTTGGGGGCTATGACTCACACGTAAACCCAGCTCTGGAGAGGCTGAGGCTGGAGGATCCCTGGGGCTTACTGGCAATCCAGTTCCAGCCAAATTGGAGCACTCCAGGCTTGGTGAGGGACCCCAGAGGATACTGCCCTCTGGTCTCCACAAGCTTGTGCACACATGCGCATACACATCAACACAAATCTACAATGGAAAGAAATTGGGTTTTCTTCCTCTTACTATTAGAGGCAAACTTCTGGCACTCTTTCCACCACTGTTACTCGGAGCCTGGATGGAGCCAAGGCCAAATTCTCTGATGGAGATACCCTAACAGCACACCCCAACTATGCACCAAATGAGAGGGAGACAGGTTAGCCCATCTCTACAGGAAGTCTCTGTAGGGGTCATCTAGGAGGAGTGCTGGGGTGCCTGGAGTGGCCTGGGCATGCTACTCAGTCTGTAACAGGGGGTGCTCAGCCGGTGTTTTTCCAGGCAGGAAACAGTGGAGTCCGCAGTGGAGATTGCTGTGGTTTCTGAGGTCCTTGTACCCAGATGCCACTAGGATACTGCTGGAGTTGGGAATAGGGGTCCCAGGTCCAAGGTTCCCCTCTGGATGTCCATGCTCCAGGCAGGAAGTGAAAGCCAGAGCCCCTGAAGGAACGCAACCCGGTTTTGGTTCTGAATGAGTGTAGAGAGTAGAGTGGCTGGCTGAAAGACAGATGGCCTTCTGGGAGATTTAGGCACAGGCTCTTTACAACGAAGCCCTCCACCACCACCCCCATTGTTGATCCTTGAAGAAAAGAAAGATGATGGTCCTTGCTCATTCAAAATGCTTTATCTGATGGCCAGTGTAATTGCATACACCTTACTCGGAGGTGCACCAAGGAATAAATACCTTTTGCAGGAAGGAATGCCCAGGAAGGGAAGCTCATTGGCCTACCATTAGCATGGAGAACTTGGTTTTCATGCTACTGTGACTTTTCTCAGGTAGAGGCGAGGGTGCTTAGAATTCCCCAGACATGGTCAGAGAAGGAGAGAACCTACTAACAAGGGAGTCTCCCATTCTGTGCTGCGCTCAGAGGCCATCTAGTCATGCTGGATTTTAACTTTGATTATCAGAGTTTTCCCACAGAGGAGAAAACCATGGCGGACAGTTCTGTATACGGTGTCAACATCTGGATCA